GCTCGGCTTGAAACCAGGACAAAGGAACTGATCCGAAGCTAATTGAGACTGCGTTTGCGCCTACTTTCTTCTCCTTTGGCTTCGGCGTCACAATACCAACATCAATTAATGTTTGTATTTTGTCCTTTAAGACATAACACGTCTTAGTGGGATGGTGGACCCTCCTGTGATAGGCACAATACTTCGGGTCATTAATCTTCATTGCTTCTTCTTGGTTTGTGACCGGCGGAAGCTTGATCTTGTTATTCTCTAATAAGTATTTGAAGATGACTGGAACTTCATCATCTTTGAAAGAGTATTCCTTCGGAAATCTAGGTTCAGAAGTCTTGGGCTGCCTCGGAGGCTGTTGATTCTGATTTGGCGCCAATTGGAAGGATGACTGCTGCGGTTGTTGTTGCGGCGGCTGTTGCGACGTTTGATGTGCATCCACAGCTGCCGTGGACCCTCTTCCTCTGCCTCGAGGATTAAAGTTCTGCTTTTGATTATTAGCTGGTGGCAGACCTCTCTCCAAGTTCTTTCTCTTGAGAAAGCGTTCAGCCTGTTCACCTCTCACTTTCAACTCCTTCCAAGTTTTAGAGGGCACAACCCCCATGACCTCTAATACATCCAGGGACAGGTTATTATAACACATTTGCAAAATAAATTCCTCTGTGAGTGGATCTCTGTAGTTCACCGCTTTGTCTCGGAATCGTTTGACAAAAACGTCGACCGATTCTCCATCTTTCTGCTTCTCATCCAACAACGTGCCAATTGAGACTTCTGTATTGGTGAGGAATAGTTCTTCCATATCCTCCCAGCTAGTGATACTCCCGGGCTTAAGGCGTCGGTACCAATCGAAGGCAGGCCCGCGAAGGGTTCCTACGAATGACCGGACTATCAGGGCTTCGTTCCCGGATATTGCGCCGAGATGCGACTTGAAATAGATCAAGTGCTGAGTTGGTGAACCCCTGCCATCAAAAGGAGTAAAGTTAATCAAATTAAATTTCTGGGGATAAGGAATCAGGTCCCACTCCCTCGGGTACGGGTATGGAATGCCCGTCTTTTTCACTTCTTGAGCCGTCATCAGAGCGTTGACTTTGCTCTCAAGATCGTGCATCTTCTTGTCCTCTTCCTCGCTTTTCTTTAAGTAGATCTGTGGAGGTTGAGTAGATGACTTGGTCGGACCACTTCTGGAGTTGTCTTTATCTGGAGGAGGATCTTCAAAGATAGTCTCATCCTCTTCATTACGCCGGCTGGATTCCGCCTTCTGGCTTGACTCCGGTTGGTGTTGCTGAACCTGCAAATCTCGCATCTGCTGCATAGTCAACTCCATCTCGGTTTTGAATTCAGCTCTAATTTCTTTGCGTTGTTTAGCCAACGCTTCCTGCAGTATGTGAGCCAGTTGACCCGGCGTGATTGCGAATGATTCTCTGACTCGCCCTACGCTGGACGCGGTACTGTCTGAAGCTATAGCAGAACAAGTGTCTGACAGTTCTTCATCTGAAGATAATCCTTCATGCATCCTTTTGTAGTCTCGACGTAGGTTAGCTCTTCTCTGTAACCGCGACATTCTCTGAGAAAGACCCCGCTCAACTCTCCCTCCCGGAGAGAAATCAGGGTCGTAGTTAACTGACTTTTGCTTTCCTTTATTGGTCATGTTGATAGTGACCTCAGGGAACTCATCTGGTCGGATTACAGGTTTCTTCTTGTTGAAACGTCTCATTTTGGGTCTTGACGCTTCATTGGACAATCTTTGAAATACGGAGACTCTTGTTGAATTATTCTTAGAGCATCCGCATTCTGTCAACACTGCTTTAATGAGTCTCTCGCAAGCGCAATGAGACTCATTTTCTCTGACAACCCTCTTTCTTGAGTTATCTTTCTGATAGTACAGCTCATCATTATTGTGATTTGAGCAACCTATTTTTTGCCTTTGAACTTTGTTAACATGCACAGGACGACTGGTCGTCGCCTCTGAGCGATCCAAAGTTGAATTTTTAAATCCACCCCCTTGCGGGTGTGGAGTTTTCAGAGGTCCTAAACGAGAGTGAACTGGTATTCTCTCGTTCTGGACTTGTGCAGTTCTGACAGGTGGGTGTTTACGACCCCCTGTATATGAAACCACCACGGGTTTATTTGCTGGACTTGGTTGTTCTTTGGCTGGGGCTTTGCCTCGATTGTCAACTGAAGGACCGAGGCGATCCGCCATTGTTATCTTAAACTTGGACAAATCTGGGCTAACCCAGGGTTTTACTGCTGATGCAGTAGACGGGCCCGGAACAGATGCTTGCGGCGTCTTCGGCATCCAAACTTTACGATTCTTCGGTGGCCTTTCAGACACCGTCTCCTTCTTGGTTCCTTGGGCTTGTTGACGAAGAGCACGAGCATGGGCGGCCTTCGCTTTACGCCTTTGTATCCGTTCCTTAAGGGTTGAACGGGCCCTTTTGACGAGAGTCCACTCCTCCGTCGTAAGTTGTGCAGAAATATGATTATCTTGTCGTTGAGGCAACTGAATCATTTTCTGCCTCATCGACTCTGGGTCCGCATAGTAATGGACCCCGTCGGTTTGTTGCATGGCTTTAGCCAATTGTCGAGCACGGCGCTGGCGCTGTCTCTGACGAGCTCTCTTCGTCAGCACCGGCGAGCTATTCATCATCGACTCCTGAATGGGTGTGGAGTCGTTCGGAGCAGAGATGTTGCAGGTAGATTCTTTAGCAACATCCGGGCAAGAACTTTCACCTGCGGTCTTCATTGACACTGCAGACTTGAGCTTTTTTCTGGGAGATGAAACTTTCCTACATTTGCGGGGTGAGGAAAGTTTTGATGATGAGGATGACAAGTACTCCTCAAATTTCGCCTGATCGAATTCGTATTCGATCTCTTCGTTGACGACGATCTTGATCGGTTGCGACACCGCGGCCTCGGCAGCGAGGCCGCTGGCTCCCACTGTGGTCGCCAGCTTGTTTGAGTCAAAAGTCGGTTCTGTTGAGGAAATCATTAAATCTTCAAGCGATTACAATAAATTCAAAGAAATAGTCTTTTTTATAAGACCTCTTTTACACAACAAAGCAAAAATTACAACTTTTGAGAAACAAACACAAAAATCGTTTATCGATCTTTGTTTTCGTGGGACTTTGCCTGTGCCGGGAACGCTTTGGTTCGTGGACCGCCGATTCACAGATCGTGAAGAGGGGGCTTATGATTCTAACTTCGTTATCGAAGTAGAAATTGAAACGATATCTTATCGAAGTAAGATAGTCGTTCTTCTTAAAATCAAGTCAAAGCTTAATTTCAAGGCGTTGCAAGAAAAGAACCCAAATCTCTGCTCTAAAACTCAAATCTGCTCTCTCTCTGCTCTGGAATGCTCTAACAAATGCTCGATCCTCGTCAGAAGTGACCCTAGGGGGGTATTTATAGCCTCAGGGGTCTGCAACTAAAAAAACTCAACAAATGACGACATTAGTACGGCGAGACAGTGTTTGCTGTCTCGACCCGCGAGACAGTAAATACTGTCTCGGAAACAGTAACCGCAGGCAGTTTTCGTTTTAACTGCCTTCCCATGTTTCAAACTCCGTTATTTTGGCAGTTATTCACGTGATTTTCGCCCACGATGTTTCCCACGTCCCTCGGTAGTTAATGGACACGTGTAGGGCAGTTACAAAGGTAGTTTTGACCATTTTAACACTGTCTCGCTGGCGAGACAACAAATACTGTCTCGCTGGCGAGACAGCAAAGCCTGTCTCGCTGGCGAGACAGTTCATACCTGCTTTGATTTTCAATATGAGATCCCTTTGAGTGATCTTCTCTATGTTTGGGATATCTATTAGCATTTTTTGACGCCTACACCTATCATGTTAATCAAAGTTACTTTAATTGAACTATGAGGGAGTTTTCTCTACAAATTTCTAAGGCAAATGTGAAAGAATTATGGAACTTTGGTGCATAAAGCATGGCAGGCAGCTATAAATTTTATATGGTATATCTTATTACGTTTTATCAAGCACTAAATGAATTGACTTGATCATTAAAACCGGGTGACAATACCAATAATGTTTGTTTTTTGATACTAAAGTGCATGTAACCCAACTAAATTTTGATAGGGTGAACTTACCTATGGTAAAATGATAATTGGAGTTGGGTCCATATAACAATCACTTTCATACGATCTCTGACGTAAACCAAACAATGTAATTTTATCATTTGAGGATTCTCAATAGAATTCAAAACAAACAATGTAAGGGGCTGTTTGGTTGTATGTTTTTACCATGTAAAAGGAGGTAAAGTGTAAAAAAGTGGGTCCCAATGTCAGCTTTCATCACTTTCAATTGTTTGTTTGTAGTTGTGAAAATAGTGTAAAGTGATTTCATATGCTGATGTGGCTTGTAAAGTGATTTCATGAAAAAAAGACATGATTTTAGGAGAAAGCTAACATTGAAGTTAGGAAAAAATAATAAAAAATAATTCCAACCAATATGATCATTTGAGTAGGGACCACTTTTTACACTTTCCAAACAAACAATTAAAGTTTTATTTTGCAAACCAAACAAGTGTTTTATGATTCCAATGGAATAAAAAACAAACAAAGAAAAATATAAAAGTGTAATTGATGAGGTGGACAACAACTTTTCAAGTTGTGTCATAAATACACAACTTTACCAACAACAACCAACCAACCCATAACTTTCAAAATGTCAGAAACAACAAACAAAGAAAAATATAAAAGTGTAATTGATGAGGTGGACAACAACTTTTCAAGTTGTGTCATAAAAACACAACTTTACCAACAACAACCAAACAGCCCCTTGGAGTGTTAAGTGGAATTTTCTTTTATTTTTTTTGTTTTAGTGGAAAAACAAAGTTTGGGGGTTGCGTGCGCAACGCTCCAAAGTATTGAGGGGTTTAGCGGAATTTATGGGACTACCCGAGGAGAGACTCAACAGGTAATAAAGAAAATGTTCGAAGGCTAATTCCGGAAAAAAAACATCTGATACTTTTTTAATATGCAACAGATATTGTCGACGTAAGAAGAAAGCTGACTATTTCTTCCTCTTCCCCAAAAATCCCTCAACTTTTGTTTCTTTTTCTTCTCTCTCTCATCGCCCAAACTAACGGGTCGGCCTTCTCCCTTCCCGAGATCCGCCGATCCAACACCCGGAGCTCTCTGTACTCCGGTGCGGGTCTCGGATCCTGCAACCCAAACCCGATATCTCGCCCGTTTCGCCCGGTTCAAGATGGTGTCGGCCAATCGCGAAATGGCGGTCTACTGCTTCGATACCCTCGTTGCCCATTACAACAGCGATCAGGCGCCTCCTCCCTCTTTCGATGAAGGCGAACAGTGAGAATCTGTTCAATTTTTTTAATTTTTAATTTTTTGTAATTTCTTTGGTCTGATCGTTGAATGCAATTTCTGTTAGTTTTTAGGTTCTGTTTGGTTAAAATTGAGTGCATTGTTTCTGATTGTGTCTTTTGATGATTGTAAAGAACACTAGCATGGGCAAAGTTGATTACTTGTTTGATTTAAGGTTGAACTTGATTCAAAGATTTGATCTTTTCATTGGTCTGAGTAGGGTAAGGATTTTTAAGTAATTATTTTATCATTTCATTGATAAGCTCGTGCAGTTTGCAAAAATGCTTGATTTTGTTGGTCTCTATTTGACCTGTTTCTACTGCTTGCATGAGCTTCTGCTTGTTTGTATTGTGTTTCTATTTGGGGCTTTTCCCACCTTTAACTGCGTCCAGTTTGAACGGATAACTGAGATTTTAGATACTTTTGTTCCATAGGATTCCTAGCATGATCAGGAAATGCTAATAGAATATTTTTCTTTTTATTTTCGTGTTGGGCAATACAAATAATTTATATCTGTATTGTTTTCAAAATTATTATTGACAAAAATTGACAAGGTGCTGAACTGAAATGAATTGACAAGGTGTTGAACCGAAATGAATTGCCATAGGTGTTAAGACTCATCACTGTCCTAAAGTAGACAAAAAGGATCCATCATGCAAAATGATGATGTGTCTTACTTGAATTTTCATGCAATTATGTATCTATCTATGAAGCTAGAGTCCTCAATGTGTCTGTTTATTTCTAGGTTCAATTGAGTATCTAATTGGTCAGTGGCTTAAAAATAAACTTTTTCATCTTTCCTCACTTATATATGAATTTATGAAGGATAGAAAAAGAATGAAACATACAAAAGGGTAAAATAATTTACAATTTATCTCTCTGAGTGCAACAGGATTGTAAGACAAGAATAGAAAAAGAATGAAACATACAAAAGGATAAAATAATTAATAATAGGGACGATGAAAAGTTAATTTTCTAGTTGAGTGTGGTTTATGCTGGTATTATTATGTGAATGTGCATAGAGAGTAATATGCACACATTTGAAAACATGTAAGGATTATAATAATAGAAACTCTTATCTTTTTAACAAATAGAAAGCAAAGTACTCTGATTAGAAAACACAACAAAATTCTAGTTGCATTAAAACCCAAAGTTTGACCTCCAAACTTTTAAGCCATATGTAACCAAAAGCTTCGAGTCAAGGTTTTAAAAAAATGCTCAAAACAAGCTAAGTTGAGCAATAGAGCTCATTTAACCAATTAGTGATGACTCGTGAATATTATTTTTCGGTTCCCCAATTTTGGTGATCCAAATTGGGAGCACATCATGAATTGATACAGTTGAACTTGGACTTAGAATTTACAACTCGCTTATTCTAGAGATATAGTTTAAGAATATCAATTATCTTTTCCTTAGCAAAGATTACTTTGTATTAGTATTCTTTTTAAGCCAAGTAGTCAATAACAAAGTTTTCGTATCTTCTTTAGCCTAACTCAAACAACTTATGATAGTTCTCTAAAAATTTAATATCAGAATTTTCAGACTCTAAAGTACTCTTACGAACATTATTTTGCAACCATGGTTAGATTGATGTTTTTCTTGCATTTATCTAATTTCATGCATTGTTTATACCTTTGGAGTGGCTTCGGTTGATATCCTTAATCATTTGGTTAAATTAAGGCACTTAATGGTTTAATGCATTTCATGTGTTATATCAATTGACTCTTACCTTCAGAAGGCTCTAGATATTTGTTAGTTAGCCTTTAGGTTTTATTTACAGATTTTTTTATTGTGCGTCTATTGCTTTAGTTGATAACTAGCGAGTAGTGAAGAACTGATCTGTCATAAATGCTTTCTGATTTCAGCCCACTGTTTGTTACTTGGAAGAAAGCTATTAATGGTGCTGAGCCACGCTTACGGGGTTGTATTGGTACACTAGAAGCTCGGGACCTGATCAATGGTTTTAGGGATTATGCTTTAACTAGGTATTTTCGTTGTGTCTTTCTGCACTCTTCCTGCATTTTCTGTGTTGATTATTTTATTACATAACCAGCAGTATCTTTTTTTCTGGCATGCTCTTTGTTTTCATTTTCTTTTATCATTTTATGTTATTACTTATTTGAAAACTAGTTAATCTTAATTATCTTAGAAGACGGTAAAGAGAAGGAAATAGTAGTAATTGAAAACAATAGAAAAACTGGATTTATTATCCATCTGTTTGACCTCAGGTTGTAAGGAAGCATGTACAATACGCACGCACGCTGCAATCATTATGTCATGTGCATTTTTCTACCTTAGTGATCAATACATGTTATTGTTGAATTTCTCATGCATTTGTTTGATAATAATGTTAGCAGGTCATTAATTTATCTTAATTATTGATAGTGCAACTTATTATGGATTAGCCGACCGTGTCAAAAATTGGCCATATGCTTCAGGTATGTGCTATATATGGCTTCGCCATATATGTATTAACCTCTTGAATGCAAGAGGGAAATGAAATGTTTAGATTGCATAAATGTAACTATACATGGTTGCAAAATTGTTTAAATATTGACTCATAGTATCCAGTTGTTTATGCATCCAATTGTTTATGATTTTAGCCAATAGTAGTTGAGTTCTTAAATGTACTGGCATACATTGATGGGTGTAAATGCAGTTCATTGTTTAATAACTTTTTTGTTGGTGGAGCGGTTTTACTTGTTTATCTGATTATATTTTATCATAGGTCTTAATTCTCAATATTTCTCATTTTCTTTTGTCCTTTAAGCTTTAAGTTATAGAAGTTTGCTTCGATAGCTTATATGTTTGACAAGAACTCTTGCGGCGTTCACTGTTTTGAAAGATGGAACCTGGCAGTTCTTGCTGACTGATTTTAGAATCAAGCTAGTTTTTGGTTCAATCCTCTAGTACGTCAACATTCCATTTCCATTACTTACTTACTTTTGATATGTTGATTAATTTAGTTCTTCATTACTTTTGATGTTTTGGTATATAGACACCTGATATTCTTTGTAAATCAATATGCACAAACAGCTCTTGGAAAAAAAAAAGGATTAATAAAACCAAGTAGATACAAAATCAAAGCATAATGCAGCTTGATTGGGGTTGCTTAAGCTATGTTAAGTGGAAGAAGAGGAATTAGGTGAAATTTTTGGTTATATATTGTGGCGATGCATGCCTTTTCACTTTTGGAACTGCAATTGTTAAATGGTGAATATGGGGTTTTCTATATATATTTTATTGGGTAAGTGTGAGCCGCAAGGAAAAAGGTTCTGTACATCAATAAGTAGGAAAACTGTGTTTCTTATGCTCATGGCACAGGCTTAAGAAATTAGAGTTGGTCATTATACAGCCATAATATATCACACCATATAACTGATTAAATTTCTGCTGTAATATATCATCAAGTAGATCCTGGTCAAAAAAGTGACCATCCTTGCATTTTTACTATTTCTTAGACCCTTCTCTTACTTTTTTCATCTTTTAAAAACTATGTACTAGCTTGAAAGAAAACAAATGGAAGATATTGGGATAGCTGTTTTTAGGATGAATGTGATTTTAGGGTGAAAGAAAATATTTTTACTCTAAATCTGTTAAGCAAATTGGTTTACTTTTTTGGCTATTGTAACTCCTCCTATTGCTTTCTTTTCCTAATATAAGTTTTCAATTATTATGTATAGTGTGGTCAATTGCTACTAATTACCAACAATTAGACCTGCCAATAAGAACTTTACCTGGCTTATCTGTTACCAATGGATCTGCTGGACCTGGTTTTATCCCTGAAAACCATATATTTGTTTGCTATTTCTGATGATAGTTATTCTTCTTGGTTAAGTTACTTTAGCCAATGCTGTTATAGTTGTTATCTTGTTCTACTGGGGCTACGAAACATTGATGTGGGACACACAACATTGTACAAAGTAGGACAAGAGTTAGAACTTTTGGTTTGTGTGGAATTTATCAATGTTTTTTAAATCCCTAGATCTTGTTCATTTCAATTTGATTATCTGTCATGTTTGCTGGTGTAGTGGATATGGTATATCTTCTACTTATGGTCAAGCCACTATATCTAGTTCCCTATCTGATATTTTACTATTCTTTGAAGTGCAAGTCCATGCTAATTTACCAGGTGTTCTTCAGAAACTTTTGTAAGGCCCTGGTGTTGTTCCATGCAAAGTGTCATAAAACCTCAGCTAATCAAAACTCATGTTTGCTCTTGCAGTGCGCTGAGGGACCGCCGATTCTCTCCAATACAAGCTAAAGAATTACCATTTTTGGAATGTACAGTTTCCGTACTAACTAATTATGAGTCTGCTCTTCACTACCTTGATTGGGAGGTCTGGCCCTAGAGAACCCTGCTTCTTTTTTTTTAATAATGTCGTAGGGAGAGTACTTTATCAATTTGCTTTGATGATCACACCATATAGATGTAAATAAGATCTAATATCGTCCAAAAAATGGATGGCATAACTTTTGAATACTTTGCAGAACTTTGATGTAGGATATGATCATATATTCTAATTTTTTTACTATTGGCTTACTATGCATGGGAATAACTAACTTATAGGTCTGCGTACATGAGTACCAATAACTTTCTACTACTACTACTACTACTATTATTATTATTATTATTATTAAGAGATTTCAGTGACATGTTTTTCTGGCTTTTTTGTTGACGCATCTATATAGCATTTGTCCCCTGTTTTACTCTTTATGACCAGGCCAAACATTTCTTTTTCCCTCATATTATCTCTGCCATTTACAGTCGGTAACTATATGTTTGTATGGTGGTGGTGATGGAATTTTTATCTCATAGGTTGGAAAGCATGGTTTAATTATTGAGTTTACTGACCCTGATAACAATATAAGGCGCAGCGGAACTTACTTGCCAGAGGTGGCTGCCCATGAAGGTACATTCTATACTCTTCTTTGTGCGCGGGGTGGGTTCCTTTAGTTTATTTTGTTGCTTTATGGTAAGTCATGAATTGGCAAAGGCTTAGTATTTTCCATTGCCTTTGGTGATATAAAATTATTGACCCAATCAGAATCAGGGCTCGAACTTGGATAGACAAAAATAAGGAATTTCAGAGATGGGTCACGTTTTAGCTTTTGAAACCTGAACAATTGATGTGAAATTGCTTGACAGTACATCTTGTATTGTTAGTCTTTTCTGAGGCAAATTATACTTGCTATATGTCACTTGCCTTATCCGAGGCACATTGTCCTTGCAAAATCAAAGAAATGAAATCAAGTACTATCTTACATAAACCATCCATGTTCTGGAACTAGCATATTGTGATAATTTGATTTTTAATTTGTGACAAGCAAGGATCTCATTACTTAAACTTTGGTTAGTTTCCACCTTAGAAAATTCTGATCATGGTGTAAGTACTGGACCTTTATTATTTAGAACCCACTTGTTTTTGTTCAAATCTAGTTAGATTATTAACTAAGTATGATGAACATAATGCTAAACAATACTTATGCTGAGATAATTGCATATTTGATGAAAAATAACCTATATTAAATTTGTACTTACACAGTTAATTTGTATCTGATGATTAGATTATTAGGCTATTTTCCATCCAAATAGGCATATATGTCCAATGTAGATGTCACATGTATTGATTGTGTAAATTGGATGGTGAAAATTCTAACTCTATTCTTCGCACGTTGAATATTCTCATATCATTTCTTGTTTCTTTCCTTTTTAATCACTTCCTGAACAGAAACTTCCATCTTGTCGAAACATAGGTTGGACAAAGATCGAAACTATCGATTCATTGATGAGGAAAGCGGGATACAATGGGCACATCACCGAGGCACACCGCAAGAGGCTTAACATCACACGCTACCAGAGCACCCTCTACACCATGCACTTCAATGAATATGTCTCCTACGTGAAGACAACAAGAGGGGCTCCCCCTCTGGGTGCGACGGCTGGATTCAACTCTGACTTGATTGGACAGAACCCGAATTTGTTGATCATGCTCTTCCCTCATTCACATCCTAGCCATTTCCATTTCGAATTTGAAGTTCTCTTTTTGTTTGACCAAGGCATCCTCAACCATTTTAGTGACCTCTTCTGTGCTAATCATCAACACTTCGCGGGATGGACCTAGGCTGGATACCGTTTTGTCAAAAGCGACTGCAGAGTTAGCATCTGACACTTCATCATCCGAGGATAATCCTTGATTCATCCTCTGATAGTCCCTTTGTCTAACAGTTCCCGACCATAACCGAGTTGTACGTTGGGATATGTCCGAAAGATGACGAGGATTGAAGTTTCGCGTTGACTTCCCCTTATCAACCATATTAACTGTGACTTCTGGAAGTTCGTCATCTTGCGCAGTTAGACTTTTTTTTACAGAAACGCATTGGCTTGGTCCTGAGCGTTCTGGGGGAGATACTTTCAAATACCGAGACCCTCTGTGAGCGGTCTTGGGGCAGCTACACGTTGATAATACTGCCCTAATAATTTTGATACACGGACAGTGAGAGTCCGTTTCTCGGGTACCTTTCTTTCGAGATTTGTTCGTACCCCCAGCCCGATAGTACAACTCATCGGCATGATTGCCGGAGCAACGTATCGTGTGCTGGCACGACTCCTCAGGTATAACATCGTCGTCTGACGAACATGTTTCCTTCTGAGGATTCATCGTCTTGTCAGTGCTCTCAAGAGTCGCACGCTTTGAGTCATGCTTTCGTGAGCGTGAGACCTTAATGGGCTCCTGGATAATGACTCGCAGTTCGAGACAGTCAGTTATAGGATCTTTCTTGGATAATGACTCACAGTCCGAGACGGTCAGTTATAGGATCTTTCCCATTATAGGAAGGCTCTGATTTATTGGAAGGGCGAGTGCGACCCCCAACTCGATGAGTTGCTCGGGGTTCATTCATCATGCCCAAGCGTTCTTTGACTGGAGCTTTGCCTTGATCCTCGTGCAAAAGACCCAGGCGTTCCGCTATCACTTTCCTGCCTCTGGATATGTCCATATTGTCACAGAGCTTCACCGGAGGTGCGGGATTAAAAGGAGCGAGATCTGAACTTGACGAAAGCTGGGAACCAGCTTTGGATCTGGAATCGACCGAGAGACACGACTAATGTCTTTTATCGGGTAGGGGCGCTGACTTAGCCTTCGGCACCCAAACCTGCTTAGATCTTGGTGATTTCTTGATCACCTCTTCCCGCTACAATTCTCGTGCCTCTCGCATAAGGATCTGGGTGTGCGCAATAAGTGCACGGCGCTTCTGGACGCGCTCCTCGAGGGTAGAACGGGTTCGTTTGACCTGAACCCATTTGTTAATTAGAGGTTGGGAGGAGGGTCCCGATGCTTGTTGTGGCGATAGCTTAGTCACTTGGCGCTTTCTGAACTCCAGATCTGCTTGGTAACGGAGTCCATCCACCTGATCCAAAGCCTTGGCGAATTGGCGCACGAGGCGTTGGCGTTTCCTTTGACGTGCTCTCTTTGATAGAGTTGGTGCACCTTCAACAGTCGGCTCCTTGATCACGAAGGAGTTCAGATCTGCAAATTTGGCTTCGTTGAACGCCGGTGGATCGTTGTGAGGTGCAACAACAATAGTGGCGGTCCTGCGCTTATGAGGAGGAGCAGATCTGGAGGAGGAGGAGGAGATGTACTCTTCAAATTTCTGCTGGAATTCGTATTCGACATCTTCGAACACCGGGATCTTGATCGTCGGCTGCGTCACGACAGCCTCAGCAGCGAGGCTGTTGGCTCCCACTTTGGTCACCAGCTTGTTTGCGGAGAAAATTGTTTGATTCATTGCGGGATTCATTACAAACTTCAGACATTTACAACGAAAACAAAAATTAGTCTTTTTATAAGACCTTTACATAATGAAAAAAAATACAATTCTCTTCAAACAGCGCAGAGATCGTTTATCGGTCTTCTGCTTGCGTGGGATCTTGGCCTGTGACGGGGACGTTGATATTCGTGGACCACTGTCGATCAGATCTGATTGCTGAAAAATTGGGCAGATCTTCGTCGATTCGCGAAGGAATCAAGAAGCCGTAGCGCTTATCTCGGCAACAGCGAGATAATTGCTCTTCTTAAGATCACCACAACGGGGTAATCTTAAGGGACGAACACGAGAATTGCAGATCTGACGAGTTCTTCTTCTTTATACCGACGAACTTGATCAGATCTCTACTCCTCCTCCTATCTGAAGTTCATGCACTTTTGATCTTCAATCCGGCAGGGCTTCGCCAACGCTCGAGAATTCTAGATATGAAAAAAAGAGGCTCCAGGGGCTGTATTTATAGGATTCAAGGAGATCCGGGCGGTTAAAACAGCGTAACAACCCATTTTTTGGCTTTTTTTTTCCTCTGGGTGTCTCGTTTGTGCTGAGACACCTCGGGGTGTCTCAACTCAGGCTGAGACGTTCCGTTTTGTACATATGTCCGTTTTCATCGTAACTTCTTCATCCGAACTCGGATTTAAGCGATTCAAAGTGCGTTGGAAAGCCGACGAGGAGATCTACAAGATCCCATGATTGAATCATCTATGGAGTGGACGAGATACGAAGGGCGTTTCGCCTTTTGTAAGCGACACGAGGCTCCCGATCAGTTCGTGTCTCCGTCATTCTAAAATTCCGTTACTCCACATAGTTCATCGATCCACTTTAGGCGTTCGTCAATGTCAATCAAGCTTCTGTGAATTAGATAGTGACGTTCATTATCTTTTCTTAGCGCTGAGCTATTCGTGGAGACCTATAGGTAATTTTCGATGCCTACATGCTTGTATTTATACGGCCTTGGGTGCGGTTATTTGGATGAGAATGAAGGATTTGGCCACATCTTCAGTTAACAATGGCCGAACCATATTTGGATATGATACGAAGTCAGTTGAGATGCTCCAGAATGAACAAACCCTAAAAAATATCAACAAACCCGTCAAAAATGCATTTCGAGAACTAACTGTGTGGGACGGACCCTGGTGACCCGCAGTTGCGCGGGACAATTCGGGACTTAGCCATCTTTGGCTTTCCAGATTTGTGTTTCTCGTCATTTGGCATATATTTTCCTTTGTACGCTTTGGGGACTTGCTTTAGGTGCTCGTTAGCTTCTTTACGGCTTTGGATAATCCTCTCTGATTTGGATAATGACGTTCATCGTCTTCTTTCCGTCTCAAGCTATATTTTGGCACATATAGGTATTTTTAGACGCCTACAGATACCCCCTCCAAAGTGTTTTAACATCATTCTTTTATAGAGGAGGCTAGAATGCTTTGGATATGATAGGACCTATTTTAACATATTTTGTCGAGGAGATCGTGTAGAAGGGCCTGTGAATAGCTTCAATTCTTGACTTCTTCTGCTTTCAGTCTACTCAGTATTTTGTCAAATAGATAAAAATTTTCTGATACTGCATTTATCATCTAACCGTTGTTGAAATCTTAAACTGAAGTTGGTGTGTAAGTTTCTAAACTTAGCTCGTGTCATTGAGTTAACGTTGAACTAATCATCTTCGTCAGAAGTTTGTATCTGAATGTGATTGAACTCCCTGGAATCATCTTTTTTTACTTAGAAATTTTATCCCGTGCCTTATTTTAGCAAAGTTGTTAGCATGCTGACCAATGTTGACTTTCATTTGCGACGCGTTGATCGGTATTGACTTCCATTTGCAACGCGTTGATCGGCATTAACTTTTATTTATAACACGTTGACCGATGTTAACACAGTTTATACTCATACGTTTATTGGAGTCTACACAGTTTAAGCTCTTAAAAAGTTAGAGAGGGGAGGACTAGTTTATACTCATATACTCCTGGGAGTTTTGGGAATTGGTTTAACCTCATGTGCCCGTAGGAGGTTGTCGGGTTATCCTTAAGAATATTCTGAGTAATATTCTCCAGAAACTTCCTGTGAAGGATGAGAAACAGTTTAGACTCATATACCCATTGGAATATGAATATGTGCCTTGAATATGTCAAAAACGGGCAAAAGTGGGTGAAAATTACACACAAAAACACCCTAAGAACCTCACACGTGTGAGACAGTCTAAGCTGTCTCACACAAGTGTGAGACAGTCTAAGTTGTCTCGCATAAGTGCGAGACAGCCCAAGCTGTCTCTGTGAGGATAGGTTTTGGAGATTTATAAAAGCTGATTTTCTTCTTCTTCTTTTTCACTTTGTTTCAGAACTCCTCTTCCCCAAGGACTCTTCAAATTCGGAACTCCTCATCAACAAGGATTCTGAGCTTTCCTTTCTTCTCTTTAAATTGTTGGATTTTGGCTAATATTCCCCTTCCAGACTTAGGGTTTTGATTCTTACCTTGGTGTTAAAGCTTCTCATTGGTAACGAGCTTTGTTCTTCATGAACTCCAGGTAAGACCTACTGTCCTCACTTCAATTTCAATTAAATCTTTTTCTTTGGGTACTTGATTCATGGTAAAAACTCTTCCTCCTGACCTAGGGTTTCAGATTTGATTGTGTTCGAGCCGATTGTTGTGGATTCTTCTTGAACGAACCAGTGTTCCCTTCCCCATCAAGCTTGTTCTCTCTGATTCAGGTAAGCTTCATCTTCAATTTTGATTGAGCTCCATCTTGTGTATTTAATTGCGAAGGGGTGGTCGAAACCCTAGTTTCAAATTGGGGATTTTAAATGACATCCCAAAATTTTTAAATGTAACAAGGGATTGAGTCTCTTCTTGGGTTGGTTACTTTCGTAGCTTCTTCTTCATGAATTTCCCAAGTTCAATTTATCTCAGGTAGATCCTTGCCCTTCACATGATCATTTGATTTTGATTTGGGAATTGAATTCATAGATTTGTCTGTGGAAATGGCTGAGACTTTGAACTAGATGTTGACTGAGATACTCAGTTTGATGTTGAATACTTGTTAACTTGAACTTGTTTAAGGACAGCGGTTTGACTTTCACTCTTGGGTATGACTTGAGCTTGGTTGTGAGTCAGACTTTTATTTTAGGCTTGAATGTTATCTGTAGGCTGCATGCAAGATTTGATTCGTCCTTTTGTATTCTGAACTTTGTTCTTGATTTTAACGGGAGACGATGAAGCTTCAATTCTTGAATTTGTTGGCGTTTTAATCCTCCAACTTGGGCATGGCCAAACCCCTAACTTGATCATTATGTGAAAATTGAGCTTGTTGAGTCCTGAGCTTGGGGGCACTTTATAGGTTTAATTGGGTTTTTAACCCAAAAAATCCATTTTTATAGAATTTTGATTAAAATTCACAATTTCCCTTTTTGTTCTTCTTGCTCCTCTGTATATTTGAACTGTTGTCTTCCATTGCAGATTAGCTATGTTGACGAGGAGATCACGTATCCTAAAGAGGTCGGCTACTGAGTTACCTGAGAGGGAGGCTCTATCTTTCGCAGGTAAACTTTTATAAATTTCTGCTTGTGAATTTAATATTGGCATATCATGTTGCATATTGATTCTCCATTTTGTTCTCCTTGGTGAGGCAATTAGAAAGAGCTGACATTCTCATTCGTGAGGGTTGACGCTTCACAGATGTGTTTTGCTTGGTCAAAACGCATCTTAATCAAATTGGGATGATTTCCGGCTGTATTATACTCCGGAGGACGGGTATATTACCACATTATTCATGTGACAATGTACATCATGCTTCGCATGTATAATGTAGTTTAAATCATCTCGCCTAGTTAATAAGCATCTTTCCTTCTTGCTTAGAAATTCATATGAATATGTTATGTAGTATATCCCCACTTTGTTCTCCTTGGCGAAGCAATTGGGAAGAGCCGACATCCTCCTTCGTGAGGGTTGACGCTTCATAGATGTGTTTTGCTTTGTCAAAACGCATCTTAAGGCAATATGGGGTGATTTTATATTGTATCGCATTTTGTAGGACGAGGTATATCATTATGCTATTTTCACGACAATATACGTTATCTTACGTGTGCGTGATATGGTTGAAATCGTCTCGCTAATTACAAGGTAATGACTCTATCTCACAGACTCATGAGATGGGTTCAATGTTTTGTATTGCCTTAACACATTCTTGAAACTGCATTTAACAAACACAAGTTATTCATTTCAGTTGAATTCCCTTCGGATGTGTTCTTGCCTTTCGAGGTAGATGGTCATAGGGTGAGCATTATGCTAATATCGATGATCCAACGTTAATCCCGCCAACTCCTCAATTTGGTTCGGACATTCCTGAAAATTCTCTCGATTGGTGTGAGAGGGACATCATCGTACTTTGCCTTAGCTAATTACCGACGCACCGCTTACAGATAATGAGGGTTCTACCCGACCTCCCAGGAAGACAGATTATTTATTTGGAGATTCCATTGAAGATCAGATAGTCGTATCTCTGAAGGATGAGCAATGGTTACACAAAGACATGGTAGGCTGCTTATATCTTCCACCAATCCCTCGTCATCGCTAACTGATTAAGTTACAGAAGCAAGCAGTGACACGCGAAATGTCATGGAATTTGACAGAGGAGCACACTCATGCCACTGCGGATATTGTTAGCCTTTATGTTTTGATGATAATTTACAACCACCATTATCAGTACTAATTACTTGTAGAGTGATATTGTAGTTAGTACCATATATGGAGGATTGGATGAAATATGAGCTACAACGATGATATCTAAAGAAGGAGGAGGCATAGTGATGAAGCAATGTTAATTCAAGAACAACAAATACAATGAGAAGCTTCATCTACTCAAGCTATATCAATACTCAAAATATTGTAAATCTATATGAGGATATTAGCTAGTTTTTCTTTTCTCTCTAGTGCTAGAATATAGGCAAGTAGTTTTAGATTTTATTTGAAGCTATTGGGATATCACACACACGTTTTTCATACTTATATTTTTTGAGTGTTTTGACAAAATATTATTTTTCACAAATACAAGGACCTTTTTGCAAAATCTCTTTTCAAGCAAGTTTGTCAAAATTTTTATAAACTATTCTCAAAGTTTTATATTTTTCTGAATTTATTTGATAATTTTTAACAAAATTCAAAGTGAGATTTTCTTTATGCATGTTTATGAGTCGACTCGTGAACAGTATTGAGTCGACTCATAAACTGCCCCGTAGTTGTTATTTGTTTCTGACGAGTCGACTCACAATCTAAAGAAGGAGGAGGCATAGTGATGAAGCAATGTTAATTCAAGAACAACAAATACAATGAGAAGCTTCATCTACTCAAGCTATATCAATACTCAAAATATTGTAAATCTATATGAGGATATTAGCTAGTTTTTCTTTTCTCTCTAGTGCTAGAATATAGGCAAGTAGTTTTAGATTTTATTTGAAGCTATTGGGATATCACACACACGTTTTTCATACTTATATTTTTTGAGTGTTTTGACAAAATATTATTTTTCACAAATACAAGGACCTTTTTGCAAAATCTCTTTTCAAGCAAGTTTGTCAAAATTTTTATAAACTATTCTCAAAGTTTTATATTTTTCTGAATTTATTTGATAATTTTTAACAAAATTCAAAGTGAGATTTTCTTTATGCATGTTTATGAGTCGACTCGTGAACAGTATTGAGTCGACTCATAAACTGCCCCGTAGTTGTTATTTGTTTCTGACGAGTCGACTCACAACATCATGAGTCGACCCATCGGGTTGAGTCGACTCATGACTGTCATAGGTCGACTCATAAACTGTGCTAGAAAATGTATTTTGTTTCTGCTGAGTCGACCCATGACCTCATGGGTCGACCCATGTATAATGAGTCGACTCATGAATTTTATGAGTCGACCCATAAGTTATTTTTAGCCTGTAATGACTAGTTATGAGTCGACTCATGAACAGTGACGAGTCGACTCATAACACTGCAACGGCTATTTTTGTACTTTTTCAGAAATTCAGATTTTAGGGGATTGTGATGATTTCTTTGGGGTATTGGCTGCTGTTATTTTTCACTATAAATACCCAACTACCCCATTTATTTTTCCTCCCAACTTTTGTAAGAGAAAAATCAATTGTGTTTAATTCTTGAGTTCAAGAGCCTTAAACTTTCAAAATCCAATTCCTTGTTTTATACTTACACATCCCACATCCATAGCTTCAAGTACAATCTCTCTCCTTACTATAAGGTTGTTGTAAGATAGAGAAATTCTTTATTTGCTACCATTGATAGTGTGGTGATCTCGTGGAGATCAACTGTGTCGTGAGATCTCGTAGAGATCAACTGTGTCGTGAGATCTCGTGGAGATCGCTGTGTAGAAGAAGTTCCGGCTTCCAAACCAGGTTGTGTAGTAGATTCTCCTCGAGAGTAAGGAGCGGGGACGTAGGCTAGAGAGTCGAACCTCGTGAATATATGGTGCGTTATTTGGATAACGATTTCTATCTTATCTCCTTTATTTTAGCATTATATTTTATGGTGTTTGCTTGTCTTAATTTTTATTGCACAATTATTACCTTAAGACCCTAATCACCCCCCTCTAGGGTCTAACAATTGGTATCAGAACTTTGTCTCTATATTAATTTTTGGTCTAATCACCTTAGAGAAAAGATCTTATGGAGGCTTTAATGAATGTGCATATGTTAGAAGGACAATCCACCACTAGACGCCCACTTTTCACCGGTAGTAATTTTGCATATTGGAAAGCTAGGATGAGAATCTATCTCCGTTGCATTGACCTTGACATCTTAGACATCATTAAAAATAAATATGTAGAAAAGCCTAAAACTAGCTCTATGACCGATGGTGAGAGGCTCCAAGCCAATCTCAATGTAAAGGCCATGAATGCCTTAATTTGTGGCCTCACACCAAATGAATACATAAGGTTTCTACTTGTGCTACTGCATATGAGATTTGGACCAAACTTTGCATCACACATGAGGGAACCCCCTAAGTTAAGGAATCAAAGATTAGTGGGCCTTATGCATGATTATGAATTGTTTTAAATGCTTCTTAATGAATCTATTGATGCTATGTTTTCTCGCTTCACTAATATTATCAATGAATTGCATGGCTTAGGTAAGAAGTTGTTACCCCAAGAGATGAACTACAAGATTCTTCGATCATTGTCTCCGGTGTGGGAACCCAAAGCTACGGCCATAGAGGAAGCTCACGATCTCACCACACTTCCCCTTAATGGTCTCATTGGCAAGCTCAAAGTCCATGAGAAGAAAATCAAAGAGAAGGAGAATGAGGAAGAACCCCATGGGTAATCGAGGAGCCATCCCAAAAGAAGACAATTGCTCTTAAAGGAGCTATTGATGACTCCTCCTCCTCGGATAGTGAAACCGGTGTTTCTAGATAAGTGGCTCTCCTCTCTAGAAGAATTTCTAAACTAATAAAATTAAACAAAAATCTTAACCGATCTAATAACAATATTTTTCCTCGTATAGGAAAATGCTTTGAGTGCAATGAACCGGGTCATCAAGCCAAGGAGTGCCCAAAGATCAAAGAAAAATACTTGAAGTACAAGAAAAAGAGGACGATGTATGCCGAATGGGATGAATCCGAGCCAAGTGACTCGGATAGCGATGAGGAGGGAGCTAAGTTTGCTTTTCATGATCATAACATTTGTTTTATGGCCAATGAAGATGATGTAATTATATCTGACTCCAAAAGTGAATCTTTTTATATGCAATATGATCTAGCTACCGCATTAGAAGAGTTAAATTTTGAATTTAAAAGAGTAGTTAAAGAATACTCTTCATTTAAAAAATTGCATGCTTCCATAGTTGAGCAATTACAATCCTCTCTTGCTCAAAAAGATATACTCTTCATTTAAAAAATTGCATGCTTCCATAGTTGAGCAATTACAATCCTCTCTTGCTCAAAAAGATAAATTATTAGGAGATCTTGATTTTAAAAACAAACAATTAAAATCTAAAATTGAAAGACTAGAAATTTCTAATGGTACAATTAAACCCGCTCATGCATATTCTAGACATTACCATTTTCAAAGAAACGAACATTATAGATCATATGCTTCTGCACATAAGAAACACTTTGTATGCACATATTGCATGAAGCATGGTCACATATCCACCCATTGTAGAATTAAGGATAATGTTAATGTTTATAATATGGCATGGGTACCCAAAAGTACCAAATACACTAACTCCCAAGGACCCAAGAATTGGGTACCTAAAGTTTCTACGTCATCTTATGTAGGGAACATCACAAACACGACGTAGAGGGATGTGGTACCTTGATAGTGGTTGCTCACATCACATGACGGGCAACAAAGAGTTATTTGCAATCCTATCAAGGATTGAAGGAGGCAATGTCTCATTCGATGGCGGTGAGAAAGGTAAAATCATTGGCATTGGTAGTATTGTTAAGATTCCATCTCCCATTATAGAAGATGTTTATTTGGTTAGAGGCTTGAATCATAATCTTCTTAGTATTAGCCAATTAAGTGATAAAGGTTTTGATATCTCTTTTAAACCGGATAAGTGCATTATTAGCATGAATGGAAAAATTGTTTTTGTTGCTAATAGAAAATCTAATGTATACATTTTTGAGATTAATGAATTAGTTTATCAAGATGTGAAGTGTCTTGCGGCAATTGATGAGAATACTTGGATTTGGCATAAAAGACTTGGTCATGCAAATATGGAATTGATATCCAAGCTATCCAAAAGAAATCTTGTAAAGGGGTTACCAAACATACACTTCATCAAGGATACCGTTTGCGAAGATTGTGCTAAAGGTAAACAAACCAAATCTATCTTTAAATCCATCAATGAGGTATCAACTTCTAAACCTTTGTAATTATTACATCTTGATCTATTTGGTCTTATGCCTGTTACCTCTCCAGGAGGAAAATACTATGTGCTTGTTGTTGTTGATGATTTTTCTCGCTTTACATGAACAATCTTTCTTAAAAATAAAGATGAATGCTTTGAGGACTTTTCCTTTTTTGTGAAAAGAATAGAAAATGAAAAGATTTAAAAGTTGTTAAAATTAGAAGTGATCATGGTGGTGAATTTCAAAACAATTTTTTAATGATTTTTGTGCACATCATGGTATAACTCATGTATTTTCCGCCCCAAGAACACCATAACAAAATGGTGTTATTGAACAAAAAAATCGTACCATATAAGAGATGGCATGTACTATGTTAAATGCTTTTGTTTTGCCTAAATACTTTTGGGCGGAAGCCGTTAATACAACTTGCCATGTTTTAAATCATGTTTTGATTAGACCCAGGCTCAAGAAAACTCCTTATGAACTCTTTTATAACAAAACTCCATTTATTGGGTATTTTTGTATTTTTGGTTATAAATGTTTCATTTTAAATACAAAAGATCACCATGATAAATTTGATTCGAAAATTAATGTTGGTATTTTCTTAGGATATGCACCTAGAAGTAAGGCTTATAGGGTCTTCAATAAAAGAACATTTGTTGTTGAAGAGTCTATAAATATTACTTTTGATGAGACTAATATTGGTTTACAAGATGGTTTGCCTAGGAATAATGATGATGATGATATTGTTACTTTTGATGAGACTAATATTGGTTTACAAGATGGTTTGCCTAGGAATAATGATGATGATGATATTGAGGGAGGATTGGAAGGCTTGCAACTAAATGAAACATCGTCAATAGACGCACAAAAGGATATGGAAAGCATCAACACTCATGAACAAGTAGAACTTCTCAAAGTATGGAAATTTGTATCAAATCATCCAAAAGAGCAAATTATAGGGAGTCCTTCACAAGGAGTTCTAACCCGCTCAAAGGCCTTGAGTGAATGTGGTAACATTGCTTTCTTATCTCAAATAGAACCTAAAAAGATTAATGATACTTTAAAAGATGAGTTTTGGGTTTTAGCTATGCATGATGAACTAAACAATTTTTAAAGAAATAATGTTTGGAAATTAGTTTCTAGACCTAACAATGTGAGTGTGATTAGAACAAAATGGGTTTTTAGAAACAAACTTGATGAACATGGTATTGTAATAAGAAATAAAGCTCGTTTAGTTGCTCAATGATACAATCAAGAGGAGGGCAGAGACTATGATAAAACCTTTGCACTGGTTACAATGTTAGAATCTATTAGAATGTTTTTAACTTTTGCAAGTTTTAAGAATTTTAAATTATTTCAAATGGATGTTAAAAGTGCCTTTTTAAATGTTTTTATAGAAGAGGAACTATATGTTGAGCAACCCCCCGATTTTGTTGATCATTCTTTTCCTAATCATGTTTACCGGGTTTAAAAAGCTTTATATGGGTTAAAACAAGCTCCTAGAACTTGGTATGCTCGTCTCTCTAGTTTTCTTATTGAAAATAATTTTTCTAAAAGGAAAATTAATAATACACTTTTTGTAAGAAAAAGGAAAAATGATTTTATTTTGGTTCAAATATATGTTGATGATATCATTTTTGGTGCAACTAATAAAATTTTGTGCAAAGAATTTTCTAAAGTTATGCAAGATCACTTTGAGATGAATATGATGGAAGAGCTTACATTCTTTCTTGGGATCCAAGTCAAGCAAACTAAGGATGGTATTTTCATTTCTCAAAGCAAATATGCTAGAGAATTGGTGAAGAAGTTTGGATTGGAGAACTCTAAGGATGCACAAACTCCCATGAGTACAAGTATCAAGCTTGATGCGGATGATAGTGGTAAGGATGTAGACCAAAAACTATACCGAGGAATGATAGGTAGTCTTCTTTACCTTACCGCTAGTAAACCCGATATCATGTTTAGTGTGTGTGCATGTGCACGTTTTCAAGCTTCTCCTAAAACATCTCATTTGCTTGCGGTTAAAAAAATTATTAAATATGTAAATGGTACTATTGATATTGATTTATTTTATCCTAAACGCACCTCTTTCGATCTTTATGGTTTTTGTGATGTCGACTTTGCCGGTTGTAAGGTAGATCGCAAGAGTACGAGTGGTACATGTCAATTTTTGGGTAACTCTCTTATCTCTTGGGCTTCCAAGAAATAAAATTGTGTTGCCTTGTCCACTATGGAAGCGAAATACATTGCTGCCGGCTTATGTTGTGCCTAACTTTTATGGATAAAACAAAGTTTGGTTGATTATGACTTGTATTTTCAAAATACAAAATTTTTTTTGTGATAACACTAGTGCTATAAACATTTCTAAAAATTCCATTTTACACTATAGAACCAAGCATATTGATGTACACCACCATTTCTTACATGATCATGTAGAGCGAAAAGATGTGTCTCTTATTCATATTGATACTAAATCTCAATTAGCGGATATCTTTACCAAGCCTCTTAATGAAGAAGATTTTTGTCGCGTAAGAAATGGTTTGGGCCTATGCATTATTTAAAAATCTTTTTGCTTGCTTGTTTGCTTGGTCACATATTATATATGCCTAATTTTCATAACATGCTTAAGCACATACAAATTGCCAAGAGGAGTGTGTGGTGAGGACGTAGTCGATAACAAGAGAAGTGGTGTCGGTGGCCTAATGAGAGGTGGTAATTCCGAGCACTTGAGGGATGCGATACATGAGGGCCAACACTTGAGGTATATTTTATGTATTTAAGTATGTTTCTCTATTCTTTTCCCCACTTTTTGATGGTGACAAAGGGGTAGAGAAATCTCCTCATTTGTTCTCATTTGTGCACATAGTAAGGGGGAGCTCATAGATAGGGGGAGCACCTATCCATGAGCTTTATTTATTTAGCTCATAAATAATGGTTGGTTTTCATCATCGAAAAGGGGGAGATTGTTAGCCCTTATGTTTTGATGATAATTTACAACCACCATTATCGGTACTAATTACTTGTTAAATGATATTATAGTTAGTACCATATATGGAGGATTGGATGGAATATGAGCTACAACGATGATATCCAAAGGAGGAGGATGCATAGTGATGAAGCAATGTTAATTCAAGAACAACAAATACAATGAGAAGCTTCATCTACTCAAGCTATATCAAGACTCAAAGTATTATAAATCTATGTGAGGATATTAGCTAGTTTTTTTTCTCTCTAGTGCTAGAATGTAGGCAAGTAGTTTTAGATTTTATTTGAAGTTATTGGGATATCACACACATATTTTTCATACTTATATTTTTTAAGTGTTTTGACAAAATATTATTTTTCACAAATACGAGGACCTTTTTATAAAATCTCTTTTCAAACAAGTTTGTCAAAATGTTTATAAACTATTCTCAAAGTTTTACATTTTTCTAAATTTATTTGATAATTTTTAACAAAATTCAAAGTGATATTTTCTGTATGCATGTTTATGAGTCGACTCATGAACAGTATCAAGTCGACTCATAAACTGCCCCGTAGTTGTTATTTCTTTCTGACGAGTTGACTCACAATATCATGAGTCGACCCATCAAGTTAAGTCGACTCATGACTGTCATAGGTCGACTCATAAACTGTGCTGAAAAATATGTTTTGTTTCTGCTGAGTCGACCCATGACCTCATGAGTCGACCCATGCATAATGAGTCGACTCATGAATTTTATGAGTCGACCCATAAGTTATTTTTAGCCTGTAACGTCTAGTTATGAGTCGACTCATGAACAGTGACGAGTCGACTCATAACACTGTAACGGCTATTTTCGTACTGTTTTAGAAAACCAGATTTTGGGGGATTGTGATGATTTCTTTGGGGTTTTGGCTGCTGTTATTTTTCACTATAAATACCCAACTACCCTATTTATTTTTCCTCCTAACTTTTGCAAGAGAAAAATCAATTGTGTTTAATTCTTGAGTTCAAGAGCCTTAAACTTTCAAAATCCAATTCCTTGTTTTATACTTACACATCCCACATCCATAGCTTCAAGTACAATCTCTCTCCTTATCATAGGGCTGTTGTAATAGAGAGCAATTCTTTATTTGCTACCATTGATAGTGTGGTGATCTTGTGGAGATCAACTGTGTCGTGAGATCTCGTGGAAGAAGTTCCGGCTTCCAAAGCGGGTTGTGTAGTGGATTCTCCTCGAGAGTAAGGAGCGGGGACGTAGGCTAGAGAGCCGAACCTCATGAACATATCGCGCATTATTTGGATAATGATTTCTATATTATCTCCTTTATTTTAGCATTATATTTTGTGGTGTTTGCTTGTCTTAATTTTTATTGCACAATTATTGCCTTAAGACATTATATTTTGTGGTGTTTGCTTGTCTTAATTTTTATTGCACAATTATTGCCTTAAGACCCTAATCACCCCCCTCTAGGTTGCTTGTCTTAATTTTTATTGCACAATTATTGCCTTAAGACCCTAATCACCCCCCTCTAGGGTCTAACAAATATATCACCAACCAAGCACTCCCAAGCTCAAGCAACATGAATCATGTTGTAGGATTACATCCCGGGGTGCTGGGGTTAGACGAGCCACCTCGCGGTGAGTTACCCATATTTGCCAATACTATGAGGAACCACCTTGCTGCATTTGGGCGAGAGTTACCTATTACAAGTCACCGATGCTACGGTTGGTCTCACTCTTTGATAAACTTTGGTGGGCGAGGTTGACCAACTACGTCCTTAATCGATGGAGTGCGGACCTGAAGGTGGGCAGGTTGTATGAAGCTATCCGCGCTACAAAGTATAGATTGCCAATTAACGTTCACCATTTCCTTGCACTGATAGATTTCTACAATCCGGATTCTAACGCTTTCATAACCAGACATGGAGAGTTAGGATTACCCCTTCATGAGATGTTTAAAGTTTACGGCTTAACGATGGGGGGAATGCCGTACCAGGAGTATTTGCCTCCTAATCAGGAGCTGGAGCAATTGAAGGCCCGTACGCCAGCTCGATTTGACACATTATGGGAGCTCACTTGTCACTATCGGACAGCTCTGGCAGGAGTTAACCTAGTAGCAAAGAAGAAATCATCCCAGATAAGTATGAAACAATTCTCAAGCTATTTATTCAAGAATCTAGATAAACTTGGTGAGACTATTCGTGAATTGAAGTCGTGAACTCCTTTAGAGGTCAACGAGCTGATCAAAAAGTCTGGTGCCCGCTCTTATACCAACACAAGTGTTGAGGGTAAATTCCTTGCGGGGACCAAGTTCAGAACCTTCTTTTGGTGTGCACAGAAGTCCATCCAGCCTATGACTTTATTGGCCGGCTACCTCGCAATTTGGTTAAAGAAATGTGTGGTGCCGTACCAGGCCTCTGATGCCCTGCCGATAAAGGTATTATTCCTGGCCGTCCAGCTAGCCCACGGGAAAAGCATATCCCTTCTTCCAGTGATGGTCGCCGATATTCATCGCGGGCTTCGTCAAGTAGTCATCGTCTGCACTCAAAAAGAGGATACACCATCAGTTCAAATTCCCACGGCGAAAGTGGAGCTGCCTTATACGTACTTAATGGCGTGGCTAGTTCTTCACCATTCTGACATGATGTCAGCCCCGAGAAATGTAGACCTGTCTATTCCCAAGCTGCAACTTCTTGAAGGGTGTAAGTAGGAAGCATGGAGCTTCCTAGAAGTGAGGAAGAGCCTGTAGATCCACATGGGTGTGGTCTTCTCCCCATGTGCTCCTCGATTTGCTAGTTGTTATAGCGGGCTGTTAGCTAATGAAGAGATACCAGGGATGAATCGGACTTTGCTCGATGTTGGCTACTTCCGATAGTTGATGAACATTAAGCCGTGTCATCTTATCTTCTAGGTGAAGAATCATTGCTACTTGGAGACTTACTTACCGTGTCGATTCGCCCGCCAGTTTGGATATGATCAATTCTACATTGAAAATCCGAACTGACAGCTCCAGACTCACGGCAGACTGGTTGATGGCGCTTGGGCGTGGTTATAGAATGTAACAGGCTGTACCGGTGCTAAGTTCAGTCTCCCAGGTACTGAATGTTGGTTAGAGCTAACATATTTATGCTATAGGTGGGTGATAGCAGCTAATGAGCCCGTCCAAGTGTGGCCAATTGTAGAGTTGGCGTCCAAAGTCGCGTCCCGAATCACTAAAAGGATAGTTCGAGAAAACATGCAACGACAGAGGAAACAAGGAAAAGAACCCGCCGATCCCTCAGGCAGAGGGAAACACAGAGTAGAGGAAGAAGTGGAGCCCTTCACTTCTAACAAGGAGACTTTGGAAGAAGAGATCGTAGGTGGTGAAGGCATAACATCGGGCAACGGTAAAGAGGAACTCAGCACAGGTTTATCGGAATCCTCTTACGAAGAACTGTTGGATTTGGCGATCACTAATCGAACTCGTCGACTTAAGGATCGAAAGAGGTGGAAAGTTTTGCCCACTTATCCTCACAGAATGATTGTTGAACTTCCGTGTGCAGCTTCCAAAGAAGAAGAAGGGAGAACTCTCCCTATCACTTGCACCCGATCTCGGACCATGGCCCAGACTGAACTACAAATTGAGACGCGCGCTAAGTATAAACAAGATAGGCCTATAGATTCTGAAGAGGCTCGACCTTCCAAGTGCCAGAAAATAATTTTCAGATGACACATCGAGCCGTCGGTTCCCAAAACAGAACAATTTGGCGACGCGCCTATCGGTGGAGAAGGTAATGCTTCAACTCTTCATGGTCTTTTGACTCTTTTATTTACTATCTCTTAGACTTAGCAAATTTTTTATTTTAGAGGGTCATGAAGAAGGTGAAGCTCACTACAACCCTCCTTCTCCTGACTTTGATTATTTTGAAGAACCTGTCTTCTCGCAACAGATGGATGAGGCTATGGCCGAGGAGCCCACAGATGTTGAAGCAGGTGTAGCCGTCGTTAGGACCGGCGAAGGGGTCGGTGTAGGACCTGGTCTATCCACAATGGTCTCTAGCCCATGTATATCTAACACCGGTAGTACACCTTTCAGATGGTAATTTCAGGAATTGAACGATTCAGAATCCGTGCCTCCCCTAATTGTTTCCATGCTTCTTGCTCTTTTAGAAAAATTACAATAAGTGAGCATAAGTGTCGGGATCGTGGAGCCTACTACCGCTACCAGAGGTGAGTTTAAAACTCAAATTTAGCCAATTCTCAACTTTTCCTCTTTGTGCCTTAACATTTAGATTTTCCTGCAGATATTTCGATGGAGGGTTCAGACGATGAAGAAAATTTCCATGATGCGGCCCTCGGAGAGTCGGGTGCACCCTCATTTAGTCCGACACTAGCTAGCCCCTCTGGACTCTGACGACAGGCTATTCGATGATATGTTGTCAGAACCAGCCCAACGTGAGGCCGCCGAGCTAATTAATGCAACTGGTTTGCCTACAGGTATGAGTTTTATTCCCATGTTGTAATCATTCGTTTGTCGGTTTTCATTTAACTATAAGGGAGTTCCAATCGTAGGACCAGTCATTAAGACTGATACAACTACTATTATCGAAAAGTCTGATGAACCTGAGGGTTATGATTTCTTGCTGGTAGCAGTGATTATTATCGAGGCTAGGTCATCGGCTCTTGAGACATAACTCTTCATCCCTTCAGAACCACCGATTGCAGCACAACCGCGGGTGCAAGTTTTACTGAACAAACTGTTAGACCAACTGAAGAAGTTAGTGCGTCAATGGCTGTTACACCTGTAGTACTTCTACCGGCTCATGAGGTTGGGCAGGCGGAACCGAGTGCGGGGCGTTCAGCTAAAGAAAGCTCTGTAGGCGTTGGTAAGTTCCATGTTGTTATTTGACTTAGAAATATTTTATACTTCAAAATATTTATCTCTTCTTTTCCTCTTAGGGTTCTTGTCTCTACTTCACAATGTTGTTAAAGTGCTACTGTTGGACGATGACCCAGATCAAACCCTACTTTGCAAGGAAATCAGTTTCCTCTTTTTCTTTGTGAGCGTGATGATCGATAAGCTCCTTCTTAGAGGGCTTTCCTATTGGCCTTCTTGTTTTGATGATGTTTAACAAACAATTTATAACTAATATTGTTTGTCTAGTGTTTGTGTTATCTATTCATTATAGACAAATAACTTGTTGGAGGATGGATGGATTGCGCCATAACGACGATATCAAATGGAGGTTGGCGGAATTGTGGAGTGAAGCATCGTACGATTCAAGTTCAAGATCCAAGTTTAGCTTCATCCGCAACGTGTACCAAGTCGAGCTTAATTGAAGATCAAGATCAAGCTTGGGTAATTTAGTTTAGATTCTATATTATGTGTGTTAAGTACCTTAAGCTCAATATCATATACACACACGTATTTGGTTTCTATGTATACATATAGTTATATATATACATGCATGGTTTTGAGTTTTCATGCTTTGGACACACTTACAAAATACATGAGTTTTCACAAATAAAAATTCAATTTGAGAAATTATTTTTCTAACATGTTTGTTTTTATGTTTACAAACATTTCGTAAAGTTTTATCAAGTTTGGAATTGATTTGTTATGTTTAAAGGAATTTACAAATTCACGTTTTCGTTCGTGCACATGTTCGTGCATGTTTTACAAAACTGATGAGTTTTCACAAATGAGAAGTGATATTTGAAAAATTCTTTCTCTGACATGTTTATCTATATGTTTAAAAACTTTCCTCCAGTTGTTACTATTTTTGGAGTTGATTTACTATGCCAAATTGATTTTACAAAATCGTGTATGTCAGCAGTTTTTCAGAAACTGTAAATCTGTGTTAAAACATTTATTTCTCTCAATTGGAAAATATTTTTTACGAAATTCTTTCTCTAACATGTCATACTACATGTCTAGAACTTTCCCACAAAATTTCATAATTTTTGGAGTTCATTTACTATTTTAAATTGATTTTACAAAACATCTGCGCACTGCTACAGTAACTCCGGTCGACCGGAAATGTCTCTAGAACTTTTTCAGGTTTGTACAGTGCGAGCGGTCGACCGAAAAAAAGGTCATCCTCTCTTTGTGTTTTTAGAGAAGTTTCCTTAACTCTATTTCCTAGCATTTTTACTATTGAATTTCATATCAATTCTTATTGCTAGTTCTTATTGAGTTAAGTTTTATTGAATCTCACTGTTACACACACCCACATTGAGCTTATTGTATCTTTCATACATAGTATAGTTGGGTGGTGAGAGATTGTAACTTTGAGTTGTGCTTTCATTGTGTTCTCATCCATAATTGAGAACAATCAATTATTGTATTGAGCCTTATTGTGAGATTCACTTTGTAATACACTTGTACACCAAGAGAGAAGTGTGTGGCAAGAGTCGGGGATCGTCCCAAGAGGAGTGGCGTCGGTTGACGTGCCTAGGGAGAGGTTGTAACCGAGCACTTGAGGGAGACACAGCTAGGTCCAACACTTGTGTGTGTAGAGTGTGATTACATAGTGTTTGTTGTGTGAGAGTTTTCGGTGAACTTGTAAACCGAGTGTGTAGAAGTTCCGGCTTCCAAACCGGGTTGTGATAGTGGATTTCTCCCCGGGAGTGGGGAGCGGAGACGTAGGACGGAAGGTCCGAACTCCGTGATCATATTGTGTGTTTGAGTGTGCTTTGGCGTTTATTTATACTTATGTTTATATCTCTTGTCGCCATTGTCATTAGCTCATTATTTATATGATCCACTATCTATTTCATATTGTTTACCCCTTGTGTTTGTTTATATATCCTTGCATATATATTTTTCATCATATAGGATATATCTCATTGTTTATATTGCATATTCTTGCTTATTATTAGTAGTATATCCATCTTGCAAGAATATACTTATTAATTAGTTTTAATTGGTATTTAATCGGATTAGATTAGCATAAGACCCTAATCACCCCCCCTCTAGGGTCTAACATTTCCTTCCATCAATTCAGACAAGCGTTGGCTATCAAAGTAAATGCAATAGAGAGTGCGGGATCTCCAAACCTGGTGAAAGCTATAGCTAACGATTTGGACCGGTTGGAACGCAAATTTTAAAAGTTACAAGAATTCAAAGCTGCCGGTGCTCCATCATACATAGCCGCCCAGATGGAATCTCATCTACAAATATGGCATGATACTCGAGCCTTTGCTGGACTCGAAATCCAATCACAACGAAGTCGGGTGGGTCAAATGAAGGCCACCCTTGCTGAGAAACAAACAGCTTTGCATTAACTTAAATCTTCTATTACATCAAGCGGGGCTAAGATAGAGTGACTTAAGGAGGAGCTCAAGGCAGAGGAGGATGCTCTGATCATCTTGGAAATGACGAGGGTCAATCTAGAGCATTCACAGGTTGTGATATCCTGGAAGTTAGAATTTTCAGAATGAAAGCTAGCCAAGGTGGAGGAAGAGGCCACGAAAACATTATCCACTACTGAGGAATCCTTCAAGGTTGAATTACAGCGTGAGCTTGAGCGAGTTTATGTAGAGGAGTTTTCTAAATTAGAACAACAAGTTCTTAGTCATAAGCTTCATGTAAAATAATTGCGATTGTTGTATCTACAAACTCGATTTTATTAATGAAAGACATTTCCTTGCTCATTGTACTTTTATTATGATTTGTCATTCTTCTTGGAATAATTAACCATAATACTTATATGATTTTTAGCAAACCCTTAGCCATCAACGGGTTTGATCGATCACCATTTGAATAGGACTAGCATGTGAATTATCTAAGCTCGTTTCACATATAATGTTGTGCTAAAATAATAAACTCTTTTAGACTTAGTGCTATGATATCGAATACGTAGACTTTGCTATTTTTTTATTTACAAAAATATGCTATCAAGCAACGCATATTAGGCGTAGGCTTATCTCTACTTAGGATTTGTATAAAATTCCCCATGCGTAAAAGGCATGGATTTTTGTTACTACGATTTTGAATATGTAGACTTGGTCATTTTCGCGGGAATGGATCACCCGACAACATGTGTTAGATGCAGATTTATCTCTATTCAAGGATCGAGATAAAGTCCCCCATGCGTGTGAGGCATGGATTATGGTGTTGTTAAAAGATTATGTCTTTTTTAGGGCAAAGACGAACCCGATACCAGAGAGAAAGAATTTTATATTTTATCTCTGGGCTTTCTTTTAGGGTAAAGACGAACTTGATGCCGGAGAGGAAGAATTTTATATTCTATCTTTGGGTCTTCTTTTAGGGTAAAGATGAACCCAATGCTGGAGAGGAAGAATTTTATATTCTATCTCCTGCTACGAAAGAGACTCAAAGTGAGATCTCCACTTCGAGAATCTAGAAGGTGAAACCAAGAGTGGGATCTCCACTCTGAGAATAGAAAATATTTAGATAACCCTTACTTTTAGATGTTTGGTTACCTGATCTAAAAATAAAATTCTCATTTATCGAGATGAAATTTCGACTTCAGTCCTAACTTTTATAGGTTTGACTGAAGGGGAAAAGGTGGAGGCCTTTCATTTATTAAAAAGGGATTCTGATTGTAGTCCTAACCGTTTGATGGTTTGATCAGGTAGGGTTATTAAAACGACCCTAACTTTTATAGGTTTGATCATTCAACTTGGGCGGGGAACTTTTATTTATCTAAATAAAGGTCCGATTTGAAAGTGGACCTCTCGTTCATTAAAGGAATAGAGAGGGGATTTTGGCTTTGGTCCTAACTATAGAAAGATTCAAACGAACAATGGGAGTGGGGTACAAATAACAATAGGAATGTTAATTTGTATGACTCACTCGGTTGGGGTTTTCAACATCACGTGATAGGGACTTAACATGAAAGGGATTTGCTAATTTCCATAAATCGACAGGGGGAGTTGTAATCACCCCCAGCTCAGCCAACGTTTTAGCATTTGGATCAAAGGCTTCGGGGTACTTGTAGTGGTATTCGTTCCTACCCCTGGTAGCAAAGACTTCTATTCGTCTTCAGAAAGTGATAAGGTAGGGATGCCTTCATCATATTTCTCAGGGATTGTTATGGCGAGACAACAGGATTTGTCCCTACCCTTAGACTTCTTCTTATATGAGAGCCCCACCCATTGTTCATCTTCAAGCACATCTGGATGGACCCAAAGAATTTTGTCATTAGGAGCCGTGTACTGCACAAGCCCCTTCTGGCATTATCCATGAGGATTGTCATTAACGGTCTTCACTTCCACCTTTGATACAGGCTCTGGATGAAACCATGACAGAGGAACAGAGCCGAAGCTGACAAAAACCATATTTGCGCCCACCTTCTTTTCCTTGGGCTGCTTTGCGGTGATGATACCAATGTCGATCAAGGCTTGGATCTTGTCCTTGAGGGTGTAGCACATCTTAGTGGGATGATGGACCCGTTTGTGAAAGGCATAATACTTTGGATCCGTTATCCTCTTAGCTTCTTCCTCGTTAGTGATTGGAGACAATTTGATTTTGTTGTTATCCAGGAAGTATTTGAAGATAGCAGGAACTTCATCTTTCTTAAAGGAGTATTCCTTCGGGAATTTTGGTTCAGAAGTCTTCTGTTGTCTTTGAGGTCGTTGTTGCCACTGAGAGGGCAACTTCTGTGGCGTTTGCTATTACGGCTGCAGTTGGATAGTCTAATTCACATCAACTGCATTCACTGGCATCTTCCCTTTACCATAAGGGACAAAGTTATCTTTGGAGCATTAGCCACCGGTTGACCTCTTTCAGCCTTCTTTCGTTTGAGGAAGCATTCAGCTTGCTCTCTGTGCACCTTTAATTCTTTCCAGGTTTTAGATGGTGCCACACCCATGGCTTCCAGCACATCCAAAGAAAGGTTATTGTGACATATTTGAAGAATAAACTCCTCCGTGTCCAGATCTCAGTAATTCATTACCTTATTCCGAAAGCGCTTGAAGAATGCATCCACTACAACACCTGAAATCTACCATAGCGGTCGAAAAACGCTATGGTCTTATTTCATAGCGTTTTAGTCAACGCTGTGTCAGAACCCGCTATAGTAGGTATGTGGCTTTACATAGCGTTTCCCCAAACGCTATCAAAACATTTCCAAACATAGCGTTTTTATGTAGCTATAAAAGAGTATTCAATAGCGTTTATATATTGCTATGACAAATATCTTTTATAGCTACATAAAAACGCTATTAGTTAGTTTCCAACCATAGCGTTTTTATGTAGATATAAAAGAGTATTCAATAGCGTTTCTATATTGCTATGACAAATATCTTTAATAGCGGTTGAAAAACGCTATTAGTTAGTTTTCATTCATAGCATTTCAACGCTGCTATTATCTTACATTTGATAGCGTTTGAGTTACTACAATGGCGTTTCAGTGAATGTTGTCTTTCTTCTTTTAATAGCATTTCAGCAATTGTTTCCACTTCTTATAGCATTTCAGTTGTGCCTATAAACCTTTGAGGTTGAACTAGAAATAACTTCTAATTGTGACAACCATAAAAGCAAATATTTTATTTAAAGATTCAAACTGATACATAACCAAGTTGTAGCATACAAGAAGAGTCAACACAAATGTGCCAAAAACAAATACTAGTCTTTGGATAGTCCAACATGGAGTACAAGAAATTAACCATAGTACACAGAACAACAGAAACTAAATTTGCTGCATTACATATGACTTGGAAGACTCATCATCTTCAGCAATTGAGTACTTGTACTGCTGCAAAAAACAGAAATTAACAACACCAATAATGAGATCCTAGAGCCATGAACATTATATGGACACAAAACATAAAAAAAAATTTCACACTGATGATTACTTTTTAAAACACAACTGGCAACCATAAGGAGGGTGAATATCTAGAACTACTGGTCGACATCAGCATGACAAATTATTCAATGATCTATAAGCAAATTTTCACACTGATGATAACTTATGCAATGTTTCTAGTACTACTGGTCGACATCAGCATGACAAATTTATGCATATATATTAATCATACCCACTGAATTCTCCAGACATCAATGACATGGCAGGGAAGATTACAATCACATTTGACAACTTAATAGAACAAATCCATCTCATGACTGCTCTAGATTAAACTTGGTGATACTGCAAGTAACAGGAGGTACAGTGTTAAAGGGAATGCTGGGTGATAACTAGTTCCGGAATTCAAAAACAGGGGATAAGGCATTAAATCTTAAAATTACTAAAAGATACTAGTGCAAATACGGAATGTGATAGATTATCCTTAAAAAGAATTGAGAATATAAAATTACTAAAAGATACTAGTGCAAATACGGAATGTGATAGATTATCCTTAAAAAGAATTGAGAATACAAAAAGATAAAAAGAAAGAACAAGGAAAAGCACTAAATTTAAAAAGTAGAAGACCGTGATTGAACATTTCCAACAAATTAAGTGCAAACTCAAGATTGATTTAACTGGTAAGACTTCTTCGAGCTGAACCATGAAGACTTATGCTTGGCAATCGAAACATATGTATTCATTGTATCGTTCAACATGTAAAAAGAATTCAGTCATGGATGCAGTGATTATTGTACTGGTACCTGCAATGCAAACATACAGATTGCCGAAAGAGGACTCGCTAGTAGCCCAAATGAAAGAACTGTATACCTGCAATGATGACAAATCAAGATTATACGTTTGTTAGGCTGAAAACTGATAATATATTAATGAGAACAACTAATATACAATTTCATTGATAAGCTAATAGATCATTTGATCATGTAAGACAGATTACACTCTTGGTATATGATTCTGTTAAACTTCTCCTTCTATTAGCTACTCAAGAAGAAGCGGAGTATTATAATTGCATGAAAACATTATTCTTAAAAAGTCTTTAGTCCTCCACATTGTAGTTTGCTGACTAGATCATACCACCAATCATACACTATCTCGAAAAATACTAAGTTAATCTACAGGGATCTCCTTCTGTGAACAATGTAGTATATAAAAATTTGCATAGACAACACATTTTCAGCCTTTACAAGGTTTACTCTCTAACAAGAAAGCACAACCAAGGTTCTCCATGGAAAATTCACAAGATAAAAACCGAATCTTTTTTCTATTGCATGCAAAAAAGGAGAAGGACGACCATAAAAAGAGATTAAACCATTTATCTCCGTTAGCCATTGTTAATTGCCAATTGTTAGTATTAGCCAACAACAAGCATGGAGTTGAATAATTCTACATGATAGTTCAATAAGACAACCAGCATGATGAAGTAGATTATCCTAACAAATGATGAAGATTCCAACACAATCATCAATACTGAGAAGTTTAGTTCTATGCCACACTTCTGACGAAACCACCTTTCCCTCCAAGGCTATACAACAAGGGGCTCCTTTTTCGAGCCAACCATATTCAGAGTTAAGAGAGATAGTTCCCTCCAAGGCTATACAACAAGGGGCTCCTTTTTCGAGCCAACCATATTCAGAGTTAAGAGAGATAGACCATATAATGATGGGACTAGACTTTCTAGATTCATCCTCAGTTTTATTTGAAACTAGATATAGTCAGCCAAAGGCGTATTTCTCCCGTAAGTTGAAGTGGGAGCAAAACCAAGCATGGATCATGAAGAACAGGGGGAAGAAGTTGCAGAGGCATGTAACTAGATGTGTCTATACTCTATAAACACAAACTGTAACCATCTGTAAAGCTTCCTATAAAAAAGGTCTTGGCTACATCCCCACAAAATTGTGAAAGCTCCATAAAAGGATTATGCAAATTCCTGCAAATGCAATAAAGACTACTATTTTGTGGATGATTACTTTTTACAGAAACTAAATTTTCACACTGATGATTACTAAGGATTATGCACTTCTCCTCAATCTCATATTAAGGTTCATGTTCCTGATACTCATCGTAGTCATTAATTGTACGTAAAAAAGGACACAAATTTAGATCGAAATCACTTTCATTGCCAAACTACAGCTAATCTCATGGAGGCACCAAATCCATGAAAGTTAATGAATACATAAACAAATAAAGCAAATAAATGCAAGTAAAACATAACTAGCTTTTCATCCATAAATAAGGAAAAGCAATAAGAGCAAAAATTTCACACGTCAATTGCATGGTGCACAGTCTCAGGCATTAATAGACAGTGACTTTTGAACAACAGGGAGAACTAACTAATTCCACAGATTTTAAACACAAGAAACCATAAGCAATATCGGAGATTCCCTTACCCGGGAAAAGGAGCATGAGATCAGCAGCAACATGAATTAGAGCTTAACCAGAGTATGGCGTGATCTGTATGCAAACCAAGCTTAACCAGCAGCATGAGATCAGCAGCAACATGAATCAGAGCTTAACCAGAGTATGCAAACCAAGTGTAAGGGTAAAGCATAGAAGCTGAGATCAGTATCACACAGAAAAGAGTATGCAAACCAAGTGCACTTTCTAACCACAACAGCATTTAAAGTAGTCACCAATTATGTATAACTTACCAGCTTTTCAAAGCATAACAACTTTGTCTGACGGCCAAGCTATTGTCGTACCAACGGCATCTTCAATGCATTCTAACTTAGATGTCGGCCTCCAAAGAGATGCACTAGGGATCCTAGGGATATCAACCCAAACACGCATAGCATTAGGACCTAAAGGAACGAAGTGAACAACCTGGTTCGGATCACTTGAAGACCAATGTCCTTCAGCAACTATCTTTCCCGAGCCACCAATATCTAACAAGTTGCACTTTTTCTTTGAGTTGTTCACACTCTAGCAACAATAAAAAAACAGTGATATCAATTATAGAAAAGAAACTAGTATAATCAAATATCAAAATAATGATAGTATCAGAAAAAAGGTTACCGAAGGAGATGATATGTTTGTAGATTCCACATTGTTAATTGAGATATTTTCCAATACAACCTTGTCAGCAGGCCACGCTACTTTAGTGCCGATAGCATCTTCAATAGATGTCATGTCAGGCGTGGGTCTCCATAAAAAAGCTTCAGGACTTGTCGGGACATCAACCCAAACAATCATGGCATTAGGTCCGAGAGGAACGCCATTAACAAGCATTTTTGAATCATTGGAAACCCAACGACCTTCAGCAACAATTTCATCTTTTCCGGTCCAATTGAAGATCTTGCACTTTATATGATTCATATTTTTACTCTACCAATCAATGAAAACAAACAAACTCGACTTAACTATTTATATGTAAGATAACTAATATGAGTAATGAAAGTAAATGAGCATGCTAAAAATTATTTTACCGATTGCATGGATATATTGTCTTCATTGTCAGATTGATGACTGATTTGGAACACCACCTTATCAGCTGGCCACGCTATTGTCTTCCCCTGAGCTTGTTGCATACAGAACATATTAGTTGTAGGCCTCCAAAGAAAAGCTTCTGGTTTGTTTGGAATGTCTACCAACACTTCCATTGCATTAGGACCAAGACGAGCATGATTTACAAGCTCCTTTGGGTCACTAGAACACCAACGTCCTTCAGCTACAACCTCATCTATTCCACACCAATCTAAAAGCTTGCACTTGTCATGTGGTTTAGGGCACATACTCTACAATGTATCAGACTATAATTAGAACATAAAACTCTATCCGGATAATAACACATGCAATTTTCAAATTTTATACCTCATAATCGATTAAAAAGAAACATGCTAGATAATTGACTTATTTACCTTAGGACTGGTCTTATCAATTTCGGGCCCATTCTGCTCATCTTCATATTCCTCATTCTGCATTCTCTAACAACTCAAAAAAAAATATTATTAATAATAATTGTTAGCAAATCTAGAAACTAACAGAAAAATATATCAAGCATCAAACAAGGGGAATACAATAGAGATAAGTAGACACACTGACAAATGGTTTATAACTACTTGACAAGGTTCATGTGCTCTTCTAAATAACTAAAATGCGAAAAAGGAGACTAAAACACATAATCTGAACGAGATTATGTCCATTTCAATCACATAAAAAGAAGGGGTACTCCTGATTAAATCTGTCTAACTGGATCTTCAGGTTTTTATCTAATCAGATTAGTCTATCTTTCAACTTCTCTGAAAAGGACTCCATACCCCTAAGGTAACATTGATGTCCATATGCAATAACGAGTGGGAAAATTGTCAGAAAAAGAAGAGGTTCAAGGTGAAAAACCTGAAAATATGAAACTTCAAATCTCACCAACCAATCAAGCCTCAGTGGGGTTTCTTTTGTGACAAACAAATACAAACAAAGCATTCAACAAGTAGTACAACAACAACAACGTCTCTACCCCAATTTTTTTTAGGTCTGCTATATGAATCTCTAACCTTCGATATTTGCGCTCATTTGTCAATCCCATTTCTTAGTGTACATCCACGAATTCAGGGTAACAGTCATGTTTCTGCTACTCATGTTATGCACATTTGTTTCATAATTGCATAAACATATTGAGCAGGTAGTAGATTCTCAGAAACAAAAAAAATTGTAGTAACATGCTTTAAACTTCCACTTCAAGTCACAACTCTTACCTACCAAGATCAGAATGCACCATATGTTGTAATCCAAATAAAAATTTGATCAACAGACAAAATGGCCATACTATAACTGGATCTAAACAAGATCATTGGAATACTTATGAATCCAACCTTAAAAAGAAATATTGGTCAAAGGTATAAGAAAAAACCATCAATCAGGCCCTAATAGAACTAATTATTTTCTTCACAAGATCAAATAATTCCATCGAATCATGTTGATATGATTAAGGAGATGCTATAGATTGTTCTCCCCAGAGCCAATTCATCACCTAGACAGCATCTTGGAGACAGTTTAGCACCAGAAAAATAAGAAGGGGTACTCCTGACAGTTTAGCACCAGTACTAATTGATGGTTATTCTATTAGTTAATTTTTAAGACATGTTAATCATGTTGTTTTGATGAAAGTTAAGCTCTATTTGTTTCTGTCATTATCCTTCAAAAATCTTCAATAATGGTGAAATTATTTATTGAACTGAATGGAAATAACAGAAAGACTTTGCCCAATTATGTTACTCCTTTGGTTTCAGGCTACAGTAACTTCCATTCCGTTCAAGGTGATCTTTTTAATTACCGCAAATCGACCGCTCGATGAAATTTATGTCGCATAATGGATCTCTCGAGCTCACTAGGAAACCCCGCCTATATTTTGATCAGAGTAACTTCACTTTTCCTATCTATATGTTTGGCGGCATCTTAAGTAGCTTTTAAGCTCAATATTAAAAAAAATTAAGACCATTCAACTTTGGGGGGGGGGACTCATCTAAATAAGCTAGATATGGCTAAGTAAACCAATTTTCTACCCATACAAACATTATAAAAATTTTATCATAAAAGTCAAAAAAAAAACACCAAACAATAGCATAGTTTATATGCTACAAAAAAGATTTAAGTTTGACCAAACAAATGACTTTTCTACCCACACAATGTTATAAGTTGTTATTAAGAGCTAAAGATAACCAAAAGCCAAAGCCAACATAGCTTAAAAGTATCAAAAAGTCCTCAACACCCTCTAAATAATGTGGAAGGGCATAAAACAATGGATAAAATAGTCAAAACACTATTTTCTTCTGCAGTCAAGTGTTTGAGAAAGTTTCAGTGTGACAAGCTATACGCATCATCTTACAGATGAAAATCCCAGCAATTGTAAGCAACTCAACAAGATACAAGTTCTGGAAGAAGCAATGCAGTACAAAATAAGCTATAAATTAAATCATCAATGGCCCAGAGTTAATTATAAATACCTACATAAATGAAGGAACCCACATCCTCATTTTCTCTTTTTGATGCCAAGGGTAATTTTCTAGATATTTTTTTTCACAGAAAAAAATAAAAAAGAAGATAACAAAATATGATGTGAACTAATTTATGAAATAATGGCTTGGATGGCAAATACAGTCCTTTAATTGAAAGTTATATAGATGTACCTGATGATTTCCAACTAATTTATGGACCACAGTCTCCAAATGTTGTATTCTATTTCGGAATTCAGAATTTTCCTCTTTTAGCTGGAGCACATGTTTGTCTCTGGCTTGTAAGAAAGATACTTTGCTTATAGTAACTCCTCTTCCCATTCCTCTTAATCGCCCAGGTTTATCTTTTCCTAATACTTTAGAAAGAGCATCTTCTCTCACATTAGTTGATGAGGATGAAGGTGTAGCAGTTTCAATTTTTTTAAGATTATCCTGAAAGGTACAACATATTTTTTTGTGTGAGCTTTGATCCAAGCTTTAACCCTTGACACACTAGATGGGTCTGCACTATTTCTTTTCTACAATGATACATGTTTAAAAAAAGAAAGACTGATGACATACTCATAACTTTACATTAAGAAAACATATATTAATGTATAATGTATTACCATAGAGCTGTTAATCGAACCATTCCCTTGCGACTGCAAGTGTGTGGGACTTGTCTGTGCCTTAATGCCTTGAACTTTTCACTTTTGACCTGGAGACATTGGTCCTTTATTATAATAACATCTCTTAGTATAAGCTAGTGATTAATTATCTCAGAAAAACATACCTTAAGCTCTGGGCTTGTTTTTGTCTTGATAAATTTCTTCCAAATTGCTAAAGATGGTATGTTGTCTGGTTTGAGTCATAATAACATCTCTTAATATAAGCTAGTGATTAATTATCTCAGAAAAACATACCTTAAACTCTGGGCTTGTTTTTGTCTTGATAAATTTCTTCCAAATTGCTAAAGATGGTATGTTGTCTGGTTTGAGCTGAAGTCTTTGTTCCTTCTTCTTTGTTGCTCGTATTTGAGCAACTAGTCTTGATTTTGAGGCCCGCCAAAGACATCCCATCGATTGAAATATGACATTCTTTTATCATTCTTCTTCTAATATGAATCTTGCCTGCATTTTATATGCATGAAAGTATTATTAGCTGAAGGACTATATTGAAGGAGATTTTCATATGTTAGATAGCTTATGTAAAATGATAGTAAATTATTACCTGAACTTCTTCCCATAATACAACTTTCAGACCATCATCAAGGTTCCTCCAATCATCAAGTGTTACAGGTACATGCTCTCGTACAAGAGGGCCCAAAAACGATGACAAGTGTACTGATCCGGGTCCATATGGTTCACCAGAATCAGTAAATTGAATCTGAATTCGGTTCGCAGGGTCCCTAGCAAGATTTTTCTTTTTTGTTGGACCCCTTTTCTTTTTTATGCCTCTTGCAGCTTTAATTGTATCTTGTGTTGGTGCATCTTCAGCTGTATCATCTTCTTGGACCATATCTTCTTCAGGAATATGAATATTTGGAACTGGTCCATCTTGGGGAGCTTCTTGATTGACTTGCGTAAGGCCTTCCATGGCATTCACATCCCTCGCATAATTATCCACCTAGAAGAAGTAGGTACTCCAATTAAACTATCATTAATTAAGCTTTCAAACGCTATAAAAATATTTTGCCAAATAAAATTTCCCCAAAATTAAGAAAAGTAAGAAAGAAACATCCAGCATTCGTGATGGAGGCAAACAAACAAGATATAACCTGTTCAGAATAATTTCAAGTCTGAATCTTTTAATTTCTTCTTTGTGTCAGAATTTGAATGTAAAGGTACGCTTCCCGAGTATATTGGCGAGTTTCACACTTGCAGAGAAAATCAAAATGAGACGATTTCTTCAAAGTTACAAAATTATTACTATAATATCCGATATATTGGCGAGTTTCCCAAATCAATCAAATAATTAAGTCCTACAGTTTGAGGCCTCAAACAAGAAAAATAAACAGTTCTTCCTTTTACGCTGAAAAATAGAACAAATATAGAAAACTAAAATTATAAAAAGCAGAAAAGGATAATATAGGCATATGATCATGCGATAACTATACCATAATACTGTTCTTCCTTTTACGCTGACATGTCTTTGTAGCCTCACCAACCATCCTCGTTTATCTGTATTAGAAAAAATAAAAAAAATAAAGAAATACATTAAGCAATTATAAAGCTAAAACAAAATATATAAAAAATATGAAATAAAGGAAAAACAGAACACTAACCTTCCAGTACGGTAAAGAAAAAAAGATAGATCTTTTCTTCCACCTAGTAAGCTCATTCTGATTATCAATGTCACTTGTGTCATCCTCATCCTCATCATCATCACCATCATTCTCATTATTATTCCTTTTTCTTTTTTTGTCTCCACCTTTTCCAAAATCATTTGGAAAATCATTTAGAACAGCAGAAATATTGTGACCTGTTAAGGCTCTGGGCTTGCTGCCATGCTCTACACTATTATCAAACCACGATTTCTTTCTTCGGTATGGATGTGAGGGTTTCAGAAATTTCCTGTGACCCATGTATGAAAACTTCTTGCTGAAGCGTAACCATCTATGATGTGTATTTTTCCCACATATAGGGCATGCTTTTCTTCCTTTTGTAGAACAGCCAGCAAGATTTCCATATGCTGGAAAGTCATTTATAGTCCACATCAACATTGTCTTCAAATTGAAAGTTGATTTGCTAAATGCATCATAAGCCTCAACCCCATTCTCCCACAACAATTGCAAATCATCTACAAGTGGTTGCAAATAGATATCTATGTCGTTTCCCGGTTGCTTTGGACCAGGAATCAGCAATGTTAGCATAATATTATCTTTCTTCATGCACAACATAGGAGGCAAATTATAATTCACAAGCATTACCGGCCAACAACTATATTTAGAGCTTAAGATGGAGAACGGGTTGAAACCATCAGTAGCAAGTCCAAGTCTGAGATTGCGTGGATCAGCTGCAAATGAGGGCCATTTATCATTAACCAGGTCCCAAGCTAAAGAATCAACAGGGTGACGCATTTTCCCGTCTGTGCTTTTGTTATCAAAATGCCATCTCAAATCTTTAGCCATTTGTGAAGACCTGAACATCCTTTTAAATCTAGGAATAATAGGAAAATATCTCAAAACCTTAACTGGAACGCCTTTTCTGATTTCTTTACTACGCTTATTTATCTTCCATCTTGAAGCACCACATGTTGGACAGTTGTCCAGTTCCTCATACTTCTTTCTAAAGAGACAGCAATCATTCACACAAGCGTGAATCTTTTCGTACCCCATGTCAAATATCTTGAGGAAGCTTTTAATCGAGGTAGCTGAATCTAGCAAAACATTGTCCTTTGGCAACATACGTTTAATGTGATCTTCAGATATATGTCTTAGGTTAGGGATGCGCACGACTAGCCTTTTGTTTATTTTCTCTTTTCCCCCCTTAATAAACAACAGTCCCATCTGGATACAAAGGAGTTTGTGCTTCTTCTAGTCTCCTTATGAACTCGTCACCATGTCCATGTTCAGAAGGTTCATTAATAGGTATAGGCTGAACAAGTTCTTCATCTATAAAGTAGGCAGCTTGGAATAAGTTATATGTCTCGTCCTTAGTGGCTTCATAATCAAGCTTCTCACCACTTTCTTATTTCTCTCCATGCTTACTCCAATGTGATTTCATTCGGTACGAAAGATCCATCCCCTTTGTAACCAAGTGTTCAAAAATTGTACTTCCATCTTGATGGCTCATATTACGACATTCCGTGCAAGGGCAGAACATCCTTGTAGGATATCCTAAATTCTTTTCAGCTGTCTTTACAAATTGTAATGCTTTTTGCTGGTACTCGAGGGTGGATCTATGATTTTCAAAGAAAAGGAGCAAGAACAAAATACATTCCAGATCTAGTTAAATTACTACAATTTTACAAGTATTGGTGAACCAACAAATTAAGATATGATTCTTACCCGTGGAGCCACACCCACTCTTTTTCCTTCATCTTTTCAATGAAGATTTATGCAAGCAATGTCTAACATATGAAAACAAAAATAAACTAATGTCAACATATGAAAACAAAAATAAACAAAAATAAACTGGATGATATAAGGTATGAAGTCCCTTTTGCATGACAACTAACTGGTGGTTTCCATATATTCTTGCTGACCTACTAGTAGTGTTCTCTCATGTTGAATGTTCAAGACGTGGAAGTCTGTTGTTGTTCCAATTAAATTGGAAAGTATGCATGGGGAATGGTTTGAGGATTTGGTAATTGATTTAGTTTTCTCTTGCACTGGTGTTAGTTTTCTCTTGCACTGGATGATATAGTGTATAAAGCCCCTTTTGTATACTATTACAAAGTTAAATTTTATAACTTTATAAGCTTGGATGGCTTGTTGATTGTCTCATAGTAACAGAAAAACAAAATTAAACTAAACCCAGCCTAAAATCCCAAACCCATTCTCATTATCATACCAAGTATACCATTCGAATGAAACATATAATAAACTCAAATCCTTAACCCAGACTAATAGTGAGAAATATGGGATAACCATTAAAATATATACAAAAAAGAATGTGTTCTGCAATTAGTGGACAGGCAAAGTTGTATTATATTCATTGACATTGACATAAATAATTGCTTTTGTATGAGCAGCGGAGCAGGAAGCACATAATGCTCGAGGAATTCTATGGTTCTTGAGATGTTTATGAGGGCTAATTGAAAATTTTCAAGTACATTTTTTAAGATTCCTGTGAAAGTTTTAGGAAAGTACAGTGGCACGATAGTTTCTGTTTACATTAGGCTATATCTCTTCATATTAAACATAGACCATCCTGCCAACTGCATGCTAATGAGCAGTTGCAAGGAGAAACTTGCTGGACATAATTCCAGCAAATTCAGGTATATATCAAAAAAGAAGAAAGACCAAGAAGCTGAGAAACTTGCTGGACATAATTCCAGCAAATTCAGGTATATATCAAAAAAGAAGAAAGACCAAGAAGCTAAAAACTATGTTTATGCACTGGAGAAGATTTCAAGCAATCAAGATAAAAACCTTGTAGTACACGGCCATATCCAAATAAAAAACACTGAGAAAATGAAGGAAATAACAATAAGCATCCACGAGAGGGAAAAATCTAACCACATTATGACGAAGGCAGAAAACTGCCATAAGAGGAAAAGAATGGAGAGACACATGATGCAAACCAAAAGAACAAGAAACAAGGACCCCAGGTTGATGGAGACTTGATATGGTGCATAACTGGCTGGAGATACATGCTTCACTAAAGCAAAGTAGGGGA